TGAGCCAAAGGCAGACGCTTAACCGACTGATCCACCCAGGCGCCCCTTCATTGATTTTTTTCTATTGTAATCTATTCTCCATGTCATTTATTGTGTGTGTGTGTGTGTGTGTGTGTATTTTGCTTTCTTTACATTTAGTTCTTCTTTTTTTATGTGTGTGTGTGTGTGTGTGTGTGTATGGATTTGAGATCTTGGGGTTTTTTTAAATGTAGGTGTGTGTGTGTGTGTGTGTGTGTGTGAGCACTGCTTTTGCTGCATCCCATAAATTTTGGCATGTGTGTGTGTGTGTGTGTGTGTGTAGTATTTCCTAATTTGCTGTGATTTCTTCCTTGTCCTGTGTGTGTGTGTGTGTGTGTGTGTGAATTTTCCCAGTTTTTCTTCTGTTATTGATTTCTGTGTGTGTGTGTGTGTGTGTGTGTGTCATATTTTGTATGATTTTAGTCTTTTTTTAATTTCATGTGTGTGTGTGTGTGTGTGTGTGTATAGTCTGACCTTGATAACGTTCTTTGTGCCCTTGATGTGTGTGTGTGTGTGTGTGTGTGTGGATGAAGAGTTCTATAGATGCTGTTGGTCCAGTTGTGTGTGTGTGTGTGTGTGTGTGTGTGTTTCTTTGCTAATATGTCTAGTTGTTCAATTCATTGTTGAAAGTAAGGTTAATGTCTCCAATTCTTATTTTTAAACTGTGTCTTCCTTTAATTCTGTGTGTGTGTGTGTGTGTGTGTGTGTAGCTCTATTGTTAGGTATATGAATAATTTTTAATTATGTGTGTGTGTGTGTGTGTGTGTGTCTTTTTCCATTTCCAACAATGTAGCATAATCTGAATTGTGTGTGTGTGTGTGTGTGTGTGTTCCTGACTAAATTTTTTGGACAGCCAAGAATTTTTGTTCAATATCCTTTTAAAAACATCTACTCTCCTACATGAAATATACATAAAAAATGTCTTTATGTGTGTGTGTGTGTGTGTGTGTGTTATTATGCTAAGCGAAATAAGTCAATCAGAGAAAGGTAAGTACCATATGATCTCACTGACATGAGGAATTTGAGAAACAAGACAGAGGATTATAGGGGAAGGGAGGAAAAAATGAAATAAGATGAAACCAGAGAGGGAGATAAACCATAAGAGAGTCTTGTGTGTGTGTGTGTGTGTGTGTGTTGCTGAAGGGGAAGGGGGTGGGAGGGATGGGGTGCCTGTGTGTGTGTGTGTGTGTGTGTGTTGTGCTATGGGGAGCACTGTGAATTGTGTAAGACTGATGAATCACAGACCTGTACCCCTGAAACAAATAATACATTATATGTTAATAAAAAATTATTTTTTAATTTCCTTTAAAAGTTTAGTTTTCATGTGTGCTATAGAAAGATATTAGTTTTGTTGGCTAGTACCATAAAAAAGAAAATGTTATATAAGAAGGTAACAAGTAACATTTGTATCGTATGACTCTGTAAAGTACTTCCAGGCACATTGCCAGGGGAATGCAGAAGCACGCTTATACTCATTGTGTGTGTGTGTGTGTGTGTGTGTAAATCCACAATGGTGAGAGTATGTACACCACAGAAATGAAATGCTGCAAAACAGGTATCTGCGCTAGAGAGCCTGTTGTGAAACATTTACTAGCATATGTGTGTGTGTGTGTGTGTGTGTGTATTAAATACAAGAACAAAAACCTCTAAACTTTAAAGTGTGTGTGTGTGTGTGTGTGTGTGTCTCAATTACTTAAGTGGTCGCTAGATAATCAAACATTGTGTGTGTGTGTGTGTGTGTGTGTTGTCCCTAAGTATTCCTATGCCCCCACATGCATTCTTGTGTGTGTGTGTGTGTGTGTGTGTTGAAGTATTTTGGGACAGTTTCTACAAAATCCATCATGTGTGTGTGTGTGTGTGTGTGTGTAACTCTTATTAACAGTAGACTATCAGGGAAAAATAATTTTCCACATACTGATATTTTAATGACTAAGATTTCATTCTGCCAGGATATTATTTTGTGGTGTGTGTGTGTGTGTGTGTGTGTGTAAATCTTGGTGTTGGCCAGCCATTAAATTTAATGAATGTGTGTGTGTGTGTGTGTGTGTGTTGGGTAAAGAAATCAAGTACACTAAGAAAAGTTTAGTGTGTGTGTGTGTGTGTGTGTGTGTGGTTCACAAGGCCACAGTGTGAACGCAGAAGTATGCTGTACCGTTTACACGGGTTTGTGCGCTTTCATGACGCCTGGGGTAGTGAAGTCTGGGAGCATGTGTGTGTGTGTGTGTGTGTGTGTTGAACACTTCAAGGTACAAGCATCTTTCAGTTTCTATGTGTGTGTGTGTGTGTGTGTGTGTTATGTCACAGGCTAAAATGAGGGCTTAGTCTTCTTCTGTGTGTGTGTGTGTGTGTGTGTGTCCTCTTCTGGGCCAAAAGCTATCATCTTTATTATTATGTGTGTGTGTGTGTGTGTGTGTGTCATTTTTCCTATATAATACTTCAGGGTCCCGGGGGATGTGTGTGTGTGTGTGTGTGTGTGTCCTAT